TTTTCCGATATTTTGAATTTCAGTTACCCTGTCAATAAATGAAAAAGGCTAATAAATTGACGTTTTCAATATTTTTGCTTTAAAAAGGCTATGACAAATATCTGTTTTTTTAAGCTGTGAGAAGGAATTTTGGTTTAAAAGAACGTTACAAACATTGAGTAATATTCTGCTGCGGTGTTTAATGTGGGTATATGACGCAGGAAAATAACTTTCATATATTACAAAAATACTACAAATATTGGCAACAATTATGGTTTGGTTTGGTTTTAATTAACTATGCCAAAGCACTCGAGAGCGATCGGCTTAAGGGAAGTGATGCCTTCATAGAAAACTTTCAAAAGGAAACTGGCTCGTATACACGTCATACAAGGGCAAAACCACGAAAAAAAGCCGATACAGCCAGTAATGTTGCAAGCCACGTCGGAACTACCAGTGTTTAGCGACTTTACCGCTGATGAGTAACACTTACGTATTGGATATATTATAAATTATGCCAGCTAACTGTATTATCAACTAGCTAAGTTATTTAAAAATAAGTTTAAAGTGTGGGGCAAAGGGGTAATTTGCCCAGAGGGACTATTAATTTCGTTTTGGCATTTTGCGTTGATTCACTATAAACGTTGATTCACTTTTCAAATTATTGTCACCAAATATTACAGCTATACCGCCCAGTCGGTATAGTGGTCAGGAAAGCTGACTGCGATGCCGAAGGGCCTGGGTTCGAATCCTGGAAAAGGCATGATTGTAACCGTCCGTCCCTTCATAGGAAAGGCGATGGTGGCCCACCTATTAGGTGCCTCCATAACAAAGAGACCACCACATGCGGCCTTGTATAGATTAATGGACTGGGTTACATTTGTAATTGTTCACAATCTACCATTGGAAAAAAATTATTAGGGCCATATATTACATTTAAAAAAATTAAATAATGAAAAATCTACATAAATGTATGTATGTGTCTCGCATTGTGATGAAACAAAGGTACCTAGAGCCATCAAACTTTGAATAACGTATGTTTCCACCCAAATATGGACATATAGAAGCCCAAATTTGGAATTTAGAATTTTTTATCATCTATTTTATATTTTGTAAAACTTTGACGAATTTTTGATTAACAAACTCAACGATTTCAAGAAGAGCAATGGCAACACTGTACCAAAAAAAAAAGGTATATTTTTATCTATGTATTAAAATTTTGTATATGCGCGAGACTGTGTCGGAAACTCTAAAGAAATGCTTATTTTTAATTTATTTTGCGATATTGCTGTTGAACTGAATTTTATGATTTAAGTACGAAGAACATGATATTTAATAAATAAAGGTAACACACAAAACGTTGAAAAAACGCCCCTTTGGGCATAATGCAAAATCTAAAAACTTTCAGATTTTTTTAAAAATTTTTATTAACTTTTCTCTTTGCGCGGCCTATTGAAGTATGAAATGTATACTGCATTTAAACAGTATACATTTTAAGACAACAGACGAGTTTTTAAGCAAATAATAATTAAAAGTGGAAGATAAATTAAAGCCGTATGCAACGTCGAATGGCAATATTCGAAACTGGTTATTTGCCAAGCTGCATACAGCAATAGTCTCAAATTGGCAGCCGAACCAATTTTATATGGGCCGCGATACACTTCGTTACAAGTTAGTTGGCGTTGTTATGAATCATTATCGCAAGAATTTGAAGAAAGGTCTGCGAAATTAATGATTTTGAGTCCAATTCTACTTTATTAGCCTCTAAAGGACTTTAGCCCCGAAAGGGATATTAGTCTCAAATCTGCATTTTGCGCTGAATCACTATGCGTTGAATCACTATTTGCTTTGAATCATAGAGTATCACTTTTCAAATTGCGGCCACCAAATATTATCGCCTTATATTATACTTAAATTATATAATGAACAATCTGCTTGAATGTATGTATGTTTCTTGCATTTTGAAAAAACAACGGTACCTAGAGAAAAAAAGTTTGAATAACGTAGTCCTCTCCCACAGCATCGGCACCTGGAAGCCTGAAGTTTGAATTTTAAATTTTTTGTATTATCAATTTCATATTTTGTAGCGCTTTAACCAATTTTTCATTAAAATATTCAATGATTTCAAAACGAGCGATGGCAACACACTATGGAATGAAACATTTTTATCTCCCGCGAGACTGTTTATCGTAATTTCTAAAGATAGGCTGCTTTTAATTGTTTTGTGATTTTGCTGTATCGAACTGTATGAGGTGCAAACGCTACGAATGTGATACTTAATGAATAAAGTAATCACACAAAATGTTAATAATAAAAATACAAAAAATTTTTAAAGGCATCATAGTAAGAAAACTGAAGTACTGATATAATGAACTGAGAAGACTGAAAAAAATGCATACCAACAACAAATGTATGCCGCATCGGAAATTCTAAACGTATACTGCTGTGCTATTTTTGCAATTATGTTGTTGAATGGTATATGGTGTAAATGCGAAGAAAATTATGTTTAATAATAAAGCTAAAAAGACAGAAAAAAAAATGGTTAGTAGGAGGGTGTGTAGCAGCATACTGGTAGACTACGAGCACAGCGATGGCATATAAAACCTTATTAAACCCTTTTGGACGACCGTTGAAATCTGAAACCTTACAAATTTTTTCCCCATTAAATAAGGCGCATTCTACGAGAAGTGGGAAAATGGCTGCAGCATCGATTCCATGGGCTCGTTATCTGCAATGGTATGTTCATTGAAGAATTTTCCATCGTTAAATTATATCATCATAAAGTTACCCAGAAGCTCCTAAAACTGTTTCTTCCTGCATTTCTCCCTCCCATTTTCTATCAAATTATGTCGCCTGAAAATCGAGAACGGCACTATATGCGAGTAGTTTCGGAAGAACGCCGAAGTAATCATTGATCACTTACAGGTAAAATGAGAATATTATTTCTTTACCTACATTCAGATAACAATATATAGTTATAGCAGTACAGTTAAAAATATATAGCCTATAGCAGATACAGTAAAAAAAATTACAATTAAAATTAGATTTTCTACGGAAAATCGAGGATTCGGCCAGAGGTCAAGAAGGCAGATTTTTCGGTGCACAAAACTTTTAGTTTACATTTAGGTTCCGCTCGGCGAAAAAAGTTTACATTTAGGTTCCGCTCGGCGAAAAAGTATATTAAAGGTGCAGAAACTGACTTGATTCACTGTTCTACTGAGTTTCAAATTTAAACAAATGGGGGTTCGTTAGGCTTAACTCGCCACTTAAACTTTTAAATTGTTGATAATTCTACAGCAATTACATGGAAATAAACCTAAGCCGTATAAAACTTAACCGCAACATAAGAACTGTAATTCAGTCGATTTTAAAGCAAAAAATGCACAATTTACGAATATATAAAAATAAGAAACCTAATCTCATCGATCCAGGTATCAGAGTGGGAATATGTATATTTGCATATAAATTTTGCAGACGATTGCGACGAAAACGGGAAGTACACAACTACATGTTATAGCAGCCCCATGTATGAAATTTCACCGTTCTACGTTTACTCGTTCTTGAGTTATGCGAGATACATACATACGTACGTATACAAGTACAGACTTAGTACAGACAGAAGAAAAAAGTCTTTTTTAAATCCATTTTAAAAACCTTTTTGCCAAAAACAGTCCTTTATTCTGTCCGTACGTATAGATGTCACGCAAAAATATCTTTAAATCGTCATTATCTTATCGTTCAAATAAAACATTTTTAAAATAGCAAATAATACATAACAGGCAAGCACAATTTTTAAAAAAGATTAGCCTGCAATCGGAAACTTCCAGATTGCTTTCTTACAGGTCGAAGAGGTGCTATTAATTTAATAATGTTTAAAATCCAAGGATTTAAATAAATCGCATTATTTTAAGAATTGCAGCATTCAGTCTTGGTGTATGGGTTCGGGTTTAAAATCTAATTATAATTTTTAACAAAGCTGTTAAAATCGGCTTCTTATTTTAAGAATTAGTTTCCCAGGAATGCATGATTTAAACTATAAAATCATATATTCAAAACAAGCCGTTAAAAAACAGCAAACCACATGTTTAGGGGGGGGATTTTTCTATTACGTTATTTCATTATAATTTATCACTAGGAGGATACTTATCGCTTTTTTATTAGAGAAAGTAATTTAATTATTCAAAACGTAACTAAGCCTTTATTTTTCCCATATCACTTGAGGAAACAACTTGCAACAAATATTTCCCCTTAGTCAAAATCGTTTTTATTTTGCCAGGATATGAAATGTACTATAATATGTTTATTTATTTTTATATTTATTTCTTTATTTATTTATTTATTTTTTTTTTGTGTGTGTGTAAAAATATTAATAGGTAAAGTAACACACAAGAAAATTTTAATGAATTTTGGATATCTTAAAGCTATCATATCAGTGACTTCCTTTTTCAGAAAGCTATTATGATTAATATAAGTTAAAATATGGTTAATAAAGCAATTTAAATTCATTTGTTCCTAGCTTAGGAAATGGGTAACAAAGATATTAACTTTCTTTAATCGTGGAGTTTCAGCTCTTCCTATTACAGATAAAGGATATAAATTGTAAAAATTAAGTAAAAAATTTAGTTAAAGGAAACCAAATTACATATTCTAATTTTATTATGAGAGAAAACTGCATTTATCATTTCACACATTATTCATAAAAAGATCTTGGGTGCGTTTCTGATGTGGCAATACTTTAAAATTAATTTTCTCGTCCTATTTTCGAGAGAAATAATAATCCACAAAGGCTGAAGTCTCATCTTACCTTTTTAAAACTCATTTCAATGTCTTATCTTACTTCTCTTCTTCGCATTCCTAGAAGAAGTCCGATATTAAACTGTAAAAAGCTATTCCAAAACTAAAATAAACTGTTTCTTCTTCGCATCAGAAAATGTATAAACGTTTATGCCGAAAGCAATTTCACTCTACTACAAAATGATTTCGTACGGATAGAATTACTAACAAAAATTATTTTTTCTTCTCAGCCGCCTCCAAAAAGTGAAAAAGATGAAGATGACATAGAAGCGTAAGTATCGATTTTTTTGTATTTCACTTTTCCTTTAGATAAAATAATGATGTTTTTATATCAATATCGTTAATATTATTTAATCATTTTACAGAATATTATGTACCAAAATGGTAGTAAACTAATTCTTCGTATTATGCGTTACATGAATTATGTACGCATTCTTACATTGTTGCGATAAATTCTTGGAAACGATTACGAGAATAAATCTTAAATTTCATTTTCAATTTAGTTTAAAACCGAATATCGACATTATCTACTCAGTTGTCGTATCGATTTCTATCAGCTTTTAAATTTCATGCTTTTATGGTCGTAGAAGAGAGGTTTCATTGGCACTAGGTGAAGTTGTTATAAAAAAAGTATCTAGGAATTAGAACGATTTTGTTCTTTTATAATACTAATTTCTTTTCGGGGTGATATTTTCGAACTCTTCTCTATCTTTGTTTAACTTTTGTTTTCTTTGTTATATTTAAATGCGTAATATAAATAATTTAGGTTGTATATTTTCGAGACTCAATACTTGATAAATTAATCAAAGGTATTACCTAAATATCTGGCAACATATATCCGATCTTTGGGTTTTTTTAATTAATTTTTTTTCTAATTTTATGAATTTCTTATATTACTAATAATTTTTTAGTTTATGAAAATTATTCATCTTGTGTCATTTTCATTTTTAATCTCAAATGTAGCAAACTTATAATATTGAGATTTTAACAATATTGAAAGCCTTTTATTATATAAAAATATAACAAAATTATATTATAATATGTTTTAATGTTTTTCTTAGATTCTTTTAAAGATTTTTTAAAGTTTATGTCAAAGCGGAGATCAAAATAGTTATAATAAAGTTATAATGGTTAACATTATTTAATATTTTTCCGATAAGAAAATTACAAATTTTCATGCGCTTCTCTTGAAGCAAACTGCGTCCTATCCTTTAAATGTTAAAGTTATTTTCACTACATTTATATGAAATTATAATAAAAAACTCAATAATAGTGCACTAGAATCAGGTGAATAGTAAATATAACTAGGCCTTGTTTACTTTCTCTGAATTTTTTTAGTTTTAAAAGACTTGTGAGATAGTTACATTTCTGGTTTATCTTGAGTAGTAGATATGGCGCATAAATTGGTAGAAAATCGCATTTCTCACTTATCTGGATGATGTATAAGCAATAAAAAGCTAAATTTCTCATTTATCTTAATTAGATGTTTGCATAAGTAAAAAATTACCTCGATTAATAAGAGTTGTATCTATAGTTTTATTGGTTTACATGAAACTCCAAGAAATGTAGGAAAAATTATGAAGGTTTTTAAAGCAAGTGCTTTGATTGCCGTAGTAAATGTATTCTTTTTCTTCCTTTGGTACCATTGTTTTCCCCTATAAATATACACTTTTCGTTTTGGCTCCTAATTTATTTAAGTTCTGTTAGGTTATATTAATATGCAAAACAAACGAGGCTAAACTTATATTCAGATTACAAATAAGGAAAACACGAAAACTAAACATACAGCAAGCCGTTAGGCTGGTATCGAACTTAGATCGAACTTATACTTGAATCTTGAATAGCATTCTCCGGTACTCGTTTTAAAGTATTTATTTTAGATGTATTAAAGAGTCATTAGATTATTTGAAGCAGGGGACATGAAAAATGAGCAATGCCCTCACCGGGACTCGAAACTGAACATCTCGAATACGCTCCAAGTATGCTATTGTTACATCGAAGGCATGAAGAAAGGAGGAAGAAAATGCCTTATGTAATTGCCCTTTTAATGGGCGACTGGAGATTAAGGGACGCAGTCGCCAAATCCTGTGGTGAAGAATCATCATCCACCACCTTTTTAGTTTCGGCACCATTGTAGAGTCATTAGGTTATTTTGAAGCAGAAGACATGAAAAATGATCATTGCCTTCGTCGTGACTCGAACCTGGACCTCTCGAATACATGCCGAGTGTGCTTCCGATGTACCACAAAGGCATGCAAAAAGGAGGGAGAAAATGCCTTATGCTATTATAAGCACTTAATTTGTTTTAATTAAAAAATTAAATTATGTGTTATTCAACAGCCGATGAAATTTAATTTTGAATAAAAGAATCGGGGGGCAAACCTGTTGTCATGTTGGTATTAATTCGGAAAACCAGTTTTGACACATAGACAATTCTACTTAATGAAACAAAATGCAAAATTTTGTCTTACAAACCTTTATATTTAAACAGCAAATACGATTATATTGGAACAACAAATTAGCTTTGTTATAAACGATCAGCCGGAAGTTATACCTTACTTAAAGCTCGTTGTCATTTAAAACAGAGAATGTTTCTTTTTTTCTCCATAATTTTATTTACTTATATGTAAAAAGGAAGAGTTTCATTTTTTGACAACTGTTTCCTTTTAGTAACATATTTCCTCCCTGATAATAATTTAAGAAAGATTAAGATTCCTTTATGATGCAGCATTATTACCGAAAACGTAGGCGAAAATAAAATAGCTTGTTTAGTTGTAAATTCAGAATTCTAATGCTTCTTCTTCAATAGGCAAGCGATATTGCTCATTCCAATCACTTCTAGCTTTTGTAAAGCAAGTTCGTGCTTAATAGTGAAGAAAGTCTACAAAGGAATTAGATCGAATTGTTTTAAGTTAGTTGATAGAGGGGAAAATGCAGTAGCTGAAAAGTAGTTTTGAACGAGACTTTTACTATAGCTGACTCCAGATTAAATTCTCTCCGCTACTTCTATTCGGTTTTCTTTGATCTGTCTCTTTCTAGCCTTTTTCATAGTACCAACAATTCTTAAATTATTCTATAGTATCTAACACCAGACCAGACAATGCAAATAAAAGGCATAGAATAAGAATAGTTGCAAAGGAATATAGTGCGCTGATCTTTGTTTTAAGTTCTTAAAACTTTATTGTAATCCATAGAATTACATTTTCAGTTTTAATACTCCGTCTTACCTCCAAAATTTATCACGAAGATGGCGAAAGTTAGTGAAAGTCTTTCACTTTTGATGTAAACACACTTTCTTTTCCCTGAATAATCGCATTTTTATCGATTACCATATATTACTCTTAATTTAAAATTTATGAATGTACTCTAGAATTCAAATAACTAATAGCAAATTAATATCACAAAGAAGTTTAATTTCCTTTATTAAGTCGCTGTTGTTGACGTAGGTTCCAAAACTTTCAGTTTTTGTAGTTTCTCATTTTTTTTTCCTAAACGGGAGCATTTATTTCACATTTCATGAATTAAGAAAATGATATTTCTGGCAATTTTTTTGTATAGATAGTTTATGCTCGTTTTATAGCACGAACAGTCTCAGCTGCTAACATCACCACTCCAAGCTCAGCATTAATGCAATTAAATATGTATAAATATTGTTACGAATTTTGTACATATGTAATTTTAGTTATATTTTGTATAATATGTAGCATAAAATATCTGAAGAGATGAAATTCTGCCGGAAAAATGTCTGTGCAAATCTATGTAATATTCAGGTAAATGGCTATCTCGCCAATTTTGCGAGATACCGCCAAGCTGGCGATGGTTTTGGCGACTAATTTTTGTCGCCGAATTCGACGAGAGGTCGATAAAAGTTCTCAAACTTGGCGAACATTTGGCGAGATTTTGGTCCGTTCCCTGTATAACTGTTACTGCCATTGTTATTGAATAATTATAATTGATCTCTATATGTAACTTATCCGGGCCTTACATGTAACTTTAACCGTATATGCCTTTCAAAAATTAATAAAGTAAAAATGAAATTTTGAAAGTAATTTCGAAAAATGGAAGGTACTAGAGATTTCGCGGCGGCCGAGGGAAAACTATATAAGCCAGAAGAGAGCATCAGTTCTTAGTTGCTAGGTTCACAGCTGAATAACTAGTACTGAGATATCTGTAAGAGCTTTACCTGTTAGATGCGCTTTGCGTTGCGTTGTCTTTAACGTTCTCAATAGTTTGAACTATAACTTCTGGCTGAGAACAGCTGTGCAAGTTCTTTGTGGAAAGTTCCAGAACTGTAAAGTATTTCTTTGGGAAAGTAAATTTGATCAAGCTATCGTCGATTCCTTCTGCATTCAATCCATTACAAGCCCACCATAGGTACGCAACAACACATTAGAAAAATACGCCGCAGCTTGATATTCCAGTAAGCCAAGTTACCGATCATAACAAGAAGACACATTGAAATTAATTTCTATTCTCTTGCGTTTTATGGTACCGCGTTTCAAACCAAAGTAGTAGTTAAAAGTACAATATACTATTTAATTGTAATATTTGCAAACTAACTTTTTACTAGTTCAATAGTTGGGAAAATTACTCTCATGAAGTAAAATATCATTAAATTATTGCTGGTACACTGGGTAAAAAAAAACGAAATTCAAATTACGTTTCTTACGTACCGAAAGCGTGACTTAGGATACATATTAGATTCATATATAGCAATAATATAACATAGGTAGACATAAAATAGGACTTTTCTGAAATAAAATATCAATTGTTTCTATATTTCGATTCTACGACTCAAATTATGCCTCAATATTAAAGTTTGTAAGATTTTGTGCGAAATTTACGGAGAAATTAAAAAATTTATCTTATGTTTTTAATTGATGCCCGAGAGGAAAAATAGTCCATGATGGTAAAAATTTTATAGATTATAACTAAAATTTTTTCGAAAAATTTATAAAAAGTATTTTAAAATACGAATTTTTAAAATAACACAAAAAATGGGTGAATTTTATTTGGAATGAACCTAAATTTTGAAATGTGAAAGGACAAATCAAATAAATTAAAAAAAGAGATATTAATAAATATATAACAAATTCAATTAACATGGAGGAGCTAAAATTTTGAGAGCTTTTTTTAAAAACTTGCGATTTTCACAAAACTTGGCAGTTTGGCATGATTTGAGTCGTGAAATCGAAATATGGGAAAAAATCGGTATGTTGTTTCAGAAAAAGTCCTATTTTGTGTTAAAATACCTATATTAAAACAATGCTATATATATAAATCTAATGCATATCCAACGTTGCGCTTTCGAGACATGAAAAACGCAAGTTGAATTTCGCCGATCGGTCCAGTAGAACAGAAGATGTAGAGCTGTCCGTTTTTGTTTCGCAGTGTACGTGAAATAATCATTTAATGTGGTAGTATGTTAGTTATTTATTAATGCTTTGTACTATTCAATTATTGTATTTGCAGAGTCATTTTATCCGATTAAAAGCATAGCATGGAGAAATGACTTACGTAAAATAAAATATTGTTAAAACATTTCTTGTAAGTGAAATAATAAATGCATTTAGTCGTGGATAAATTATGTTCATTATTAGTGTGTTATAACTAAATCATTCACGGAGTTTTGTTGTATTCATTTCGTATGACTGTTGCATATCCATTAAACAGGCGCTGAATAAAAAAATCCGAAATCAAAACAAAATATCGTTCATAATGTGGCTGTGGATAAATCATGCTAATTAGCTATTAATATGTTACATTATTTAACTATATATTTTGTGAAGTCTCTCTTTATCTGTTTAACAGTATTACTGGAAAAAATCTCCCTTACAAAATAAAACAGCATTAAAATATTCTTTGTAACCTGAAATTATTAATGAATGCAGTTTGCGAATAAATTATGTTAATTACAGGAATTTGTTGCTTCCTGATGGTGTTCCCGCAGAGCGACAACACGCGCGTTTCATTGTGAAAATATATCGGGCAGATGGTCTCCCGAGAATGAACGCAGGAATCGTGGCAAACGTTAAGAAAGCTTTCACTGGGGAAGCTCGTGATTTGGTTGATCCGTATGTGCAGGTCTCGTTTGCTGGACTCACGGTATGCACTTTAATATTCCTCATATTTAAACTTAATGAAAGTCAGTTATAAGAACATTTCTATTGCCATGTAATATGCAACATAGTTGAAATAACATAATCATATGAGATTGTTCTCATAATCATACATGCGTATGCATTATAGGAATAAAGGTCTTTTAGAGTCTCAATTCTGAAAAAAGGAACTAAAAAACTAAACACAAGAACTAAAGAAAAAATTTTTTGTAAGCACAAAACGAAAAATGAAAAATGAGGCTTAATTTTTGCAATCATGTGAATTATGATTTCGTTCTTTCCCTAATTTTTATGCAATAATTTAGAAATGTAAATACCTTCAGTATTAATATTTTAAACAAAGAACTGCATTAGAAGAGCCTTTGTTTAAACGCTTATATTTTATTAACACTCTTCTTCGGGATTATCAAATTATTTTAATTTAGCAGGCCAAATCTCTTTTTCGTAAAATTAAGCAATGTAATGCTCAAATTTGAAAAAATATTAAAGATATCACGTGATGGAAACGATTCATGAGTTAAAATCCCATCGTTCTAAGTATTTTAAACTGTATTTTTATGCAGATAAAATCAAACAAAACTCCAGAATTCATTTATATTGTTTCGGAATATAGAGAATGTTTCAATCATAAAATCCCAGTTTGATCAAAATTTACATCAAAAACTCTCATTTAAAGTTAATTTTAGTTGATGGTGTAATTTTACTCGATTTAAAATGCCATTTGGTTTGAATGATTCATCGGATTCCACCGCTACTATTTCAGATAGCTTAAGCTAGATTTATGAAGCGAGAGTAGATATGAAAGAATATTACTCACGCTTACGTCTCCAGAAATCTGACGAGCCAAAACATTATGACCATCCCCACATTGCACACTGAAATCGTCTGGATGACGTTGAAGAGTACATGAGTAAATGGAAATCGTATTTAACTGCTACTGGAGAAAATAAGGAGTCATTTTTGCACTTACGTTTGCGAGTAATGGGAAAGACTGTTGATGTAAGCGAAATTAATAGAAGGTAGACTGTAATGGCCCCAAGACTCGGAACGAGTATCACTGAAATTGCACGACTGGTAGGTTGTTCAAGATTTTCCATTGTTGGTATTTATGCAAAGTGGATAAATGACGGTGAAATCAACAGTAGACGGCAAGGTATTGGACATCCACGCGTCATCAAAGAGAAAGGACGTCAGAGAGTGTCCGCCTTGGTACAGCAAAATCGCCTCAGCTGGTAGCCCAATACAATGCAGGTCCAAGTGCAAGTCTTTCGGAACACACAGTACAACGGACACTGTTGGATATGGGATATCGCAGCGGAAGGTCCCATTTGTGTGCCCCTTTCACAAAGTATCATTGTCAATTATGCCTACAGTGGGCCCTGAAACTTCGAGACTGGACCATGTATAAGTGGAAGACAGTTACTTAGTCGGATGGATCCTCGTATTTTATTTTTCATGTGGATGGTCATATCAAAATACGCCGCCTTCCAGATGAACAGTTGCTCTCCCTGTACAGCAAGTCATACACAGTCTGGTGGTGGTGTAATCATGTTTTGGGAGACGTTCTCATGGGCGTCTCTGAGACCCTTAGTTGCGGTAGAAAAACCCGTGAAAGCTGCAGACTGCTGCGGACCATGAGAGCTCCTGAGCATAATGTCGAATCAATTGCATCTTTAAAAAACGTCTGTCTTCCCAACTGTAAATAGAATCTTCCAGCGGGACAACGCCGCATGTCACAACTCTCGAATTGTGTTGCAGTGCTACGAGGAACATAAAAATAAATTATAATTAATGCCCTAGTCACCTAACTAACTGGATCCTTAACTCAGTAGACGATATTTGAGATGTCATGGAGCGGCAAATTCAAACACTACCATGTCGGACTATCTCGACTTTGCGTGACTGCTGCTTAGACATTTGGTACAACCTGTCTCCAGTTATCTACCAATACATCATGGCATCCATATCAAGGCGAGTTGCAGCTGTTTTTTAGGTCAAAGGTCGCGCAATACGTTATTGAGTAGGTGGTCACAATGGTTTGGCTCTTCAGTTTATATCAGTTTAGAACTAATAGAAAATTTTTCAATCGGAAAATCACATTTTAATCATAGTTTTCTTCAAAACCCTCACTAAAGTTAGTTTAACATGATGAGGGAGCTTTTTTTTTTATTTAAGATGCCACTTGATGGAAATGATTCATTAAATTACACTGCTACCAAGAAGTTCGGTAGTGAATGATTTTCGATCATTGCAGAATGCGTTGGTTTTCCAGACCTTCGATGATGCGATGGATGTATAAAGTGGCATTACCAAACGTTTTAATTCTAAATAGTAATTTTATTGGCTTAGAAGGAGAAGAAGTTTTCCACGCACCCAATAGATAAAATAAAATTTAAAACAAAAATATTTAAAACGCCTTTTTCCCTAAAAATGCACGTTTTGACTATGCTGGTTTTGTTTTCAGGTATGGTCGGCCACTATATGGCATTTTCGAGCTGTGTTCATGATAGTATATTCGTGACAAATGGCACTAACTTTCAAATAACGTTGATATATTTGCGAACTTCTAGTAAAAGTATATCTGAGGAGTAAATGAGTTGCAAGATCCACATATTTCTCCAAATTAAAGAAACTTTTCGTAGAGATCGAAGAAAACTAATCCTACTTATTTGTTTGAATTTTTTAAAATTGCATTGTTACTCGTTTAATTCTCTGTTTCTGTAATCCAAATTTAGCTCTATCCTACGGCAAGTCTGTTCTGGGTAAAATGTTATTGAGTAGTGTTATTGAGAGTATCCACACTGTTCAAGAATAATTTGCTTTATTCCAGGGAAAAACATCTGTGCGGAAAGGAACATGCTGCCCCACGTGGAACGAGCAAATTGTATTTACCGAGATGTTCCCTCCCTTGTGTCAGCGGATCAAGATCCAGCTGCGGGACAACGACCCCGTCAACGACGCCGTCATCGGCACACACTTCATAGAACTTTCCAAAATATCTAACGAAGGTGAAAAAGGTAAAAAGCTGATATTCTTAGATATTCGCTTAGAGTAAATAACTTAGGTAGATTTCGATATACAGTGCGCAGAATTTTTAATATAGCAGCTGAAACAAAAATGAAGGTAAAATATTTATCGAGAACATCAGAATTCTTTTGTTTTTTAATCTTATGTTGACTCCATAGGCATCATATATCTGCTGGTATTAATGAAATTAAAGAATGTAAGAAGTTAAATGTGTTCTTCTTATATGCTTTTACAGTATTATAATCAGAACAGCCAGCTGACAAGAAAGAATCCTTAGGTTGATTCCGAGTAAACGTATGGCTAATTATTCGCAATCTTCTACTCCAAAAAAGAAATAAAATAAAAACAGATTTTATGTTATACAGTCAAAGATCCATCGTTACAAATGTTCATAAATTGGGTAAAACATTTTTTAAAACATTTTTCACCGAGAATAAATGACATATGGTGTAATTATTGGAACATCAAAAAAGCATTCTTATGTGTGTATATGTGTGATGCAAGCTTTGTGAGCTACTACCATTTGCTGGTAATTCAGTCATAGAAATAATGACATTGAAAAGATGAATATGAGTCTTGAATTATTCTGTCAGAAAGAGAGTCCATAGTGTCCTACAAATCTGACATAAGCATATTATTCTCCAATTTACTAAATGAAGTCCTAAATGAAATTTAGAAGATAAATATGTATGCTTAAATTTCAAAATGAACTGATTAATTCGGGAGTCTAAAATTAAGGGGATTTTATCTCCTTAATTATTATTTTAAACCTTTATTTTTTGGTTGATTTCATAAATAAGTTGCACAAATGTTGTTGTTGTTATTGCTATTAATTTCACTTATCTCATAGTTTGAGAAACAAAGATATGTAAGGTTTATAGCAAATAGAATCGAAATTAACCCTTAGCGATACAGTGTGTTCGGTATGGACACACCTAAAAATTTCCTTCTGTACGCACAGAAAAATTAAATGAAAAATGATTTATAGGTTACTATAGGTTACTCTGAACCTTCTTTATTTATAGCAGATGGCAGCTCAACACAAACCAGTCCATATATTTTAGCCATGTGTAGTTTCTTAAAACCCTCATTTTTCAAAGAAGTCTTCGAGGTTTTTTGGGGGGTATAAAAGGAATTGTTTGAAAAGAAATTTTTATGTTATTTTTTGGCTGTATGCTAATCTAATTATTCTATATTATTTTTAAATTTTTACCTTGAAATCTTGCCTAAAATCAAACGGCGAACCCTAGGTGTGCCCATACCGGGCACACCGATAATCTAGGACAACCGAGAGTCTGTATTCATTGTTTCTCCGCATCTCATCGGTCAGTTCATTGGCAACAATGCTCGTTTCAGCACTCCTTTCGAAGCTCTATTCAATCCGTGTGCCACTTTGGGCACACCCACAGAATTAAAACGATACTTCACAAAATTTTACTTGTGTACTCCTCTAGGCCTAATTAGACTGCCTACCTTTTTTTTTTTTTTTTATCAAAACTCCGAATTTAAAAGGTAACATGCCGGAAAGGCTTAAATCAGAATGCTTCAAGTAGCTATGCAGCAACAACATATATATTCAGATTTTTTTCTTATCGATGCACAAAGGTCCTAACACTTCTTGTAATTAAAGTCTTTGGGTTAGCATAGCCGTAACCGGTCATCTTGTTCAATGTCTACATCAGCCTTTAAACGTGTTTGTCTACAAGACGATCACTGAGGGCGCCAAGCAAGTGAAAATCATTTTGTGCTAAGTTGGACTGTAACGTAAGTCGTTGAAAGATTGACACCCGAATTATAGGAGATACATCTTAACTGACCGTGCCAACTAAAACCTATCATTGTCGTACTTTCTGGACTGCAAAAACTGCTTTAGTATTATACTCTGACAGTCATGAATTTGGAGCCATAAAAAACACGGACCTTGTTCCTGCTGCCAAAAATCAATTGACCTTAAGAAGCCGGTGTAGCGTTCAATGACAAGAAAGATAGTTCAGTTTAAAAGTTCACCGTCCGTAGAGTGGGTCTCCATGGCCATTTCGGAAAGCGAGATGTGTATACAGCGTGGTCATAAAAATATCTAAAAATTCTCGATATCTGAACACCTAGCAGCCTATCCGCTCTGCTAGTCGAAATGGAATTTCATATGTTGTTCTCTGAAGGTGTGCACTCGAGATTGCGAGAATTTAAAACACTAGATCTCTCATAGATACGGTTATAGTGAAAAAATTCCAAAATTTTCGAAACGTAACACCCACCTTTTCTGAACAAATTTATCAACTGGTTTTCTGAGCAAACTGATCAAAGTGATCAATTTTAACTGGCTGATCAAATTGATCAATTTTGACGAGCTTCAATCCACCTTTAGCCTAATACGAATGTCAGGGTCAGTCCGTGCAGTGCCCTAAATAATGTGAAGGAGTTTATATTATGACTATCTGATTTACTTCAGTTAAATTGACGGGCTTCAATCCACCTTTAGTCTAATACGAATGTCAGGGTCAGTCCGTGTAGCGCCTTAAATAATGTGAAGGAGTTTACATTACGACTATCTGATTTACTTCAGTTAAACATTTGTAAATGTACGGATATGATATTGTTTAGTTTTGAATAAAACTAGAGATATGATTTTTATGTTATTTCCTTTTCCAGGCTTCCTTCCCACTTTCGGTCCATCATACGTGTATTTATATGGATCTCCACGCGATTACTCCCTGTTCGATGAGCACACTACACTAAACGACGGTCTGGGCGAAGGTGTTATGTACCGGGGCAGGATCTTGCTGGCGGTTAAGACGGAGATAATGGACAGTTTGGACATCAGCCCATCCGATGTGGAAGTAGAAATGGCGAATCCTATTTCCGAGGTAAGGACAATTCGTAATTAAACCGCCGGAGTAGTAGCATGACGGACTTTGACCAGTCATGAGATTTTTGTCACTTGATACATATTAGCTTATAATTTAAGATATTTTGTTTTCTTTCTTTGATAATGTAAATGTCACATGAATGAATGTAAGTTTACGAAAGTAGAAAGTAAAATAAGTAATTATACAAATTCAGCTAATAAATGCTGTTTAAATGCAGGTTTTCACTAGCAGATCCAAAGACCCGTGTCACTCAGATGGTTTTAACGGAAAAGCATATTATACCAATTGCCAAATGCCAAGTTTTCCTATTACATCTACAGTTCATAAGACGTCTAGAGCTTATAAGGCATTTTCAAGAAAATAATAAGCATTATAAGCATTAATCCAATCTTGTACAATTAATAATTTGTTGTAGAAGGGATTTAAGTCATGAAGCGTTAACTCTCTATAACATAACTCTTATTTAGAATCAACCTTTTGAACCAAAAAATTATAATGTAATTTCTAACATGTGACAGCGGAGAAAAAAAACGTTGATTATTCAAAACGTTATAGATCTCATGAAAATTTAGCGCTGTATTAATTCTATTAGATTATAAATTATCTAATAGAATTAGTCATAAATTAGTAGAATATATTTACGCGAATGGCGCATAGATAAAAAAATATAATAGCCCCCATCTTCTCACACATTTATATTTAAACTAAGTTAGATATGTAGCATATGGAGTAACATAATGGATTGGTGTTACTGGACATACATATCTAAGCTTTGATCTTCATATGTTATTTCGTACAGTTTTATGTTAATTAAATAGTTATTTTATCATTATGTTTTCCTTTTCACGTATAATAATAAAATAACTGAATGTATCCAAGTACCATATCGTCATGAACCACACCTGTTATTTTTTTATTTTAATAAAATTCATATTATTGTTACATATCTAAACTTTGATCACTACACTGGATATAATAACTGAAGTAACAGTAAATTATAACTAAAAGTAAACAGCTCGTGCATTTAAACTCATTCTGCTTATAATATCTTCAAATTAACACCTAAACAGTTTGTAGAATGCAAATCATTAAATTAGATCATAATAATGAGACGTATCACATCCCATGGTTCTTCTTATTGGAATCTTAAAACTCACAGTTTTAAGCATGTAAAAATAACACCTTACTTATTTTCCAAAATAAAAGTCTTTAAACTTAGGTTCGAGTTTAAATTGTTTCAAAAATCCCTCCCGTCCTCAATCTTAATACAGAGAATAAATTAGTTAAACATCTCGATATTTTCCAGCGTTTTCAAAGATTGAGTTAGTATTTCTGTTTGTTAATAGTTCGTATAAACATGTGAATAACATGTCAAGACAACAGAAGAAAAAACAAATAAAATGTTTAAACCTTTCTCTTATAGCTGCAAGCAGTAATAGTTTTACAGGTATTCGGAAAGAATCTGCATATCTTCATCAGTTTATATCCTAAATGTAAATAGTATAGTGGATATTGAAAAACAGTGTAGCAACTCGTAAACGTAAACATTGATCAGCTGAGTGAGTTCACTCAAATACACACTTTTTTTCATTTCGGCTTTTCGAACAGAAGATATCCGATCATGCTGAAAACAAAATCTGTAGCATCGGTTGCATATGGTTGCCAAACTCTTTAGCATTTCATCGAAACTCAAACGTTTTTAATCTCAGTTTTAATGTTATAATTTATTCCATTCACATGAATTTTGAAAAAAAAAAAATGACATTTTGAAATTCTTTACGTTTCTATTTCAGGGAATGTATGGACGGAATGACGAATTTTTCTTGTTTGGCTGTGTTCTAGAAGCAAGCATGATCGACCGAAAGGTGGGGGAAAAGCCAATCTACTTCGAAGTGACATTAGGTAATTCACATACATGTATTTCTTTTCTCATTTCTTTTCTCATTCTGAGCATATTTTTAATATTCATTTTCCAAACAAATTATTTCATATTGGGTAATTATGTGACGTATAACTATATTTAACAGGGAACGCTGGGAACATGTTAGATAGTTACCGTGTGTCCAATCGAGGAGACGAAGACGACTTTGATTCTGGATCAGATTCCGGAGAAGGTTCCTTCTATGGAGAAGCTTCTTGTCCCATACAATCAACTACACCTCCACTTAAGCCTACTTCCAAAGACAGGTCAGTTTCATACTAGGACTTCCGATAGGTTGTAGAGACATTAGGTTTTTGGAAGCAGGAGTGATGAAAAATGAGCAACGCCTTCGCCGGAAATCGAACCACGGACCTCTGGAATACGCGCCCAGCGTGCTAATCACCACACCATAAAGGCATGGTAGGAAGGCGGAAGAAATACCTTATAAGATCACCCTCTCCTCCTCTGGTAGGGACAAGCCGTATTGCTAGAAACGTATTTTAATTTGAAACACTTCGTTGTTCATAATTCAGCAAAACATTTAAAACAATCCTGACAAGAAAAACATCTGACAGATACCATATTTTATTCTGCCAAACTAAATGTAAACTCATTAAGTATTTTTCACACTTTTCGCAGACTTTTTGTTGGCACAGCAGACATCTGCGTGTCATTTAGTATTGAACTTAAGACTTGCACTGAAAACTTCCCACCAGCAGGAATCGTAGCCTATAGAAAGTACTTAATAAGAAGATAATAATTACTATAAGAAGAACTACTGATCTAGTAAAAGATATCGATGAACCAGAAAACTTGTTTAACAACTGTATTATACCTGTTTTATGAGCAAACATCGAAGCAGGCATATCGATTCACCATTCTCTAATAAAGGCTTGTCCAGCCCAAAAGACTTCGCGAGGCGCTTAGGAAATGTATTTTATTGCGGCGGGACGCATTATAAATATATATTAATTTTTATATTGTAAATTATATGTATATACATATATATGTTACCGTGAAAGACCGAAATTGGAGAATGTCGACTTTCACCGGAGAATGTTAACATTCACCAAATACGTTGGTGAAAGATCGAATATTGCACTTCATTCTTGTATATTCGGACCCTCACCGGTGTATGTCGACAATCACAGATATGCTCTGGTGTAAGTCGAAAAGAGAGGTCATAAAGTGCCATAATAGTTTAAGTTGTAGCAATAAATAAGATTTGAATCACATAATTTAGTAAGTTTTTTATTACTGTTACTTTATTTTCTCATTTAGAACGTACTGCATAATTAAGTAAGTTTTTAACTTCTATTATTTTCTTTTATCATTTTAAATGTATTGTGTGTTCTAGGTTCTCATGTTCTTAAGTTCTTATTTCAAGTCTCAAGTGCGTTTATTCGCGACTGAATTACGGAGAAGAAAATATAATATTGTTATATGTTCAACATTAACCATTAGTACATGGTGAATGTCGACATTGACTGGTGTAAGTCAGAAATAAGAGTATTTGGAAAATATTTCGGACATACACCAAGAGACTATGTGAATGTTGACATTCACCGGTGAAAGTCGACATTCTCCAGATTTCGGTGTTTCACCGTAACATATATATATGTTTACTAGCCTGAATATATTCTATATTTATATGTTTATATTGTAAAATTATTTGGTAAAAATTTAAAAGTTTTAAATTTAAAAGTTGAGTTAACAAAACATTTATAACTACAGATAAATAATTATGGCAATAACAATGAAGAAAACAATCGAATGATATTATATTTACTATAACCAGTGCAATATTTGTTTCGCCTCCTCTTTTCCTAGTTTCTTCAAATCAATCTCAATACTTGTATTTGTACATCGAAATTTTTTAGAAAAGGAAATAATAAATTAGGCTCTAATTATAAGTGTTTCCCCGCCCAGAACTGAGACATGTTTCAAACTTTAAAAAAAGATTCCAATTTGTACTTAAATTCAGTACATCTAATCCAAACGAAAGGTACAGCTCCAATTAAAGGAAAATTATGGAATATTGATAACATTACCACACAAAAGCTAAAAAAAATCATTAAAAATCTCTAAAGCTACTTCTCGTTCAAACGTGACGTCGTATTTCCTGGAACTCGTACTAATTTTTTATTTCATCCACCTACTCTGCACTGATAAATAAGGAATTTAACTTTGCAACATTCGTAATCATAAGTCTAATCCCTTAGTTTTTATATTATTCTACATTTATTTATATAAGTTCTGATTCATCAAATTCTTAATTAATTACATCCTCACTTTTCTGAAATTTAAAAAGCTCTTTTCTAATCGCTTGTTCAACCAGCATTGGTTTCGCTTTTTTCTTCAATTAACTTTGTAATTTTTTGCTTTTAGTTAAATTACTCTCATTATCATTTCCAAATTTATACAAGTCAAATGTAATCAGAAATCACGTTTCGAAAATTATGCAAAAATTCAAATTGTCACTTTTTCATCAGATTATAAGAAACACACGCACACGTTTCCTAATATTGAATATGAATTATATTACCTTCATTTAAAAATTGAGAGTTTTACTTTAAATGTTCCCTCTTTTGATCATAAGTCTTGGTTTAGAACCGATACCGGTTGTCAACGCCATAAAAAAGTCTTTGTTTCTAAATTCCAAAAGCTCACATCCCAATCGGCTAGTCCCACCCACCTTTCCAATCTTTCGACTGTAAATATTAATCCCATCATTAGTACCTCTAATATTAATTTTTGGAGGATTCATATGAACGTAATATTGTAAAATAAAACTTGAACTGTTCAAAGACATCTAATCCTTCAGTTTCCCAAATCTATTGAAAAACCTTTTAAAGTCTCTAATATTTCAGAAACACAGATAGACACAATCCGACACTTAAATACTCTCGTCGTGGAGTTTAACAACAGCAGATTTGTTTTGAATATAAACCGAAAGGGAAGAGAGGGGTTACGGAAAATTCATTCTAATACTATTATTTCTAAATCTGATAAGGGCATAAGTTATGGACAAACACGCGTATACTGAAGGAATTAGACTTAAGTGTCATGCCCATTAGTCGCGCTATGCATCGCATAAACTTAGCGTACAAGTTCAATCGCTGGGTGCCTCATGCGCTGAACTCAAGCAGGTAAGGGCAGACGTGTTCGGGCCTGCACTAATCTACTCAAATGTCAAAGCAAGGAGGAAAATTCTGGACCGGATCGTCACTTATGATAAAAAAGTGAATTTACTTCAACAACACAGGCCAAAAAGGAGGTTGGTTTGCGCTCGGTGAGCCCGTCAGCAACGTCGCAAAGCGAAATTCGACTAATAAAAATATAATGCTTTACGTCTGGTGGGATTGTTGTGATATTTTCTACAAAGAGTATCTAAAAAAAAAAGATAAAAACCCTGGACAGTGAGACAGTAAGGTGTACAGTGAGATGCTAATCCGTGTTGACGCTGCTACCAAGTAAAAACGTCGAACTGTGTTCCAGAGCAAAAAAGTAATGTTAAATCAAGATAATGCAAGACTACATGTGTCTGCAATCACCAGCTGGACTCTGTACGGACTCGAATGGATCTTTTGCCACACCCACCCTATAGCCCAGACATCGCTTCTTCGGACTTCTATCTTATTTCCCCACTTGCAGCTACATCTTGCTGGTGCTATCTTCTATTCTGCACAAGACGTCCGAAATGAAGTTTGTGAACTCGCGACCACCAAGTTTCTGGTCTGGTCCGAAGGCTTTGAAAAACTACCAAAACGATGCAGAAACTTATACATTTGGGTGGCAACTACTATCCGCATTAATGTATTGATTTCATAGTTTTTTCCTAATTTTATTATGAATGTTTTTTAGCGTAAAACTTTCCTTACAAGCAGACATATTCCATTGTTCGCAGGTACATATTTTTATTCGTCTCATATAGGATCCTATTGCATGCATGTGTAAATATTTCATTTCATTAAGTTTGGCATATATCTGTTCTGTCATATGCCATGAGTTGCATCTTACTTTTCGAGATTTTATTGTCTTTTCAAATTTAGATTTAAAACGTAGACTGCACAATTTAATTTAAATCTTAGCTGGCTCAAAACCTCTAACCGGCGTTTCAAACTCAAATGTCAACAGCGAATGCAAAGCCGAATAACTACAACCTTATCTTAGCTTACCGTGCTACGTAACGTGGCCATGATGGGTAGAAACCATGGAGGTAAGAAAGGAAGGAGGGGCCAACCCCGCACTACGAGTGAAGCACTGCTCCGAGGCTTCGGTCTCCAGATGGGGTTATGTCCAGTTATGTTTACGTTCAGAAGCTCCTTTGATAGCGCTCTGATAGTATTTCGACACGCGACAGCTCCATACAAATCGAAAAACGGGAGACTTCCAAATTAAAGAAACATTCATTGTGTGATGGATAATAGTAATTTGTATAGTTTAGTGACATTTACGCAAAAATCACATCTTGGTTATTTCTCGATAACTAACAATAGCGATTTTGATTATGAGTTTGTTTTATAAAATTCTAAGCTGTTGAATTACAAAAATATAGGTTTTACCAAAACATTTTATGCTGAAAGAATAAAATATACCTTACGGTACCTGGTCTTTCGAAACCCTTGACATAGTATTCGTTACTTTTATTTCATGCTCCAAACGCCAAAATGTTTTAAATAAAATAAATCTATTTATTAAATGTATCTAAATTTATAATGATTATAAATATTATCTAAATATATAATAATTTTAACTTTGAATTGAAATCATGTTGGCAAATACGTTTATAAAACTACTTAAAAGCAAGAATTGTTCGTACTGGAAATCAATCTGTTTAAAGGTATTGTAAAGCAAATTCTATGAGATGCGTACTTAAAGAACTAATAAAGAAGAGTTTTAGAATATGTATTGTTGAAATTAAGGGTAAAGAAAATCTTATAAGGATAATTGAAAGAATTATTTCCTTACATTTTATAATAACTCAATTACAAGTTTTAAATAATATTAAAAATAAATCCTTTTTATATTACCTTACAGAAATATTCAGAGAAAGTTAAGTACATGGAAATAAGCACCAATATTTAACGTATTTCACTATTAAAATAAAAGGTGCTCTAATTTAAAATGGGCCGAAGAGAGCATTAATTATAAATTGACTTAGATTTTTCGATTTAAAAGATGCCTCAGAAGTGAAAAAATTATGTCATATTTGAGAAAGTATTTTAAGAAGAAGTTCTATAAGTAGAAAAGAAATAATGCATAA